CTTACGGGAGAAGTGCTCTTAGCCGGCGCAGTTAAGATAGATTATTCCACTGAAATTCCGGCGCAAATCTCAGCACATTTCTTTACGTACCTCTGCTACTGAAATTCCAGATTCTGTCTGATTTTTATTAAGAAAACTATTATTAAAATTTATAATTACTAACAAAAAGTTTTCCCCTTTTATGAAAAAAATTAATACAGATGGAAAAAATGGAGAGAATGAGAAATAAAGAGAAATGTACTTTTAAATAAATATCTCTATTTAATTGGAATATATTTTATAAGTTTGCTATAACGTTTTTTTCGCAAATATGTTTTTCATGAATTCATAATTAGGTTAACAATATATGCTCTTTGTACGTATTATTTCAATAATGTATATATACACATAGACAAGCACCTTTTAATTTTCCAATTCGTAAACATCCATTCGGGCAAGTAAAATATGTCGGCAAATATTTGCATCGAAATAACGTGATATATTCACGCGCTATTTCATAGCATGCTCTCTCTCATGATCTCCTATGTCACTGTCCATTTAAAAACCAAAACATATCATCAAACGGTCAATGACTACCGCGCGGTAAAAATCGTTCGCTCTGAATTATGATATATAGCTGCAGTTAATTAATTAGGTAAAAATTCATCAAAATGCATATTAACTTTCAATTAGTAATAATTAAACTTTAGTCAGAATATATTATAAAATCGAGAATTATAAAAAAATTAAAATCTATATTCGAATGAAGAAAAGGAAAATTTCATATTTGTCCGAAAACCGGCGTTAAAAAGTTAAGTGCTCTTATTGCAAGTTTGCTCGGTTATTTCCTCTTTTTTATTTCTTTTCTTCTTTAACGCCTACGCAATTTTTGTAGCTTTTCCGCCTGAAACGCAAAGCGCGATGTTTCAGATTGCGAGGCAAAAGTCCAGCGTGCCGCAAGTTTCTCTAACGAATGAATAGAGCAAAGGGAAAAAAGAGGAAAGTCTCCTATGGAAAAATTTTGTCGACTCGCGGAAACTCGCGAGAGAAGGGAACATCCTTTGCTCCTTCCTTTTCTTTTCCTCGCAGCATTTCTGCCTTGGGTTCGTTACCGTCGCGAAGGAAAGTCCTCGCGCGTCTTCTGTGAGCATTTACATAGAGTCTTCACTTTCTCTCTCCTTCTTTTTGTCACCGTATTAAAGCATTTCGCCTTTGCGCACTTAAAAGCACAACGGGAAGTGATTTTCTCAGCAGATGCACGACAATTACGCCTGCTTTGCGAAAAATCAGCTGACGACATTCACATTGACGTGTAATCGCAAAAGTATATAGTTATGTATTTTTCTTATGTATTTTCTTTTCATTGTTTAACGATTCTTGTTACAAAATAACATACTATTAGTAAACACTATTAAACATAACTATTAGTTATTATAGTGTCTATAATCTATAGAGTCTCGTAGACGATAACTCGTAGACATCTTTTGATTGATACATATTCTAAATTCAAAATGGTGATACCAATTAAAGTGTAACGCACATACATTTACACATGCATACATACATTTATACGCTATTTTGAGAAGTTTTGATTCAGATATTCAAACTCTGTATTCTATGGATATTGTTATAATGAATTCGGTTGGACACACTTGTGCAACGTGCATATTAAAGTCGTTGTACACTAATTTAATCTGTGTAAAAGTAAAATACAAATATTTAGAATTATAAAATTTATTTTACAAACTTTACTTAAAGCTAATCGTTGCGGTTATATCGGATCGTGATGTCATAAGCGGGAAATGACATTGAAGTTGTTTGCATGCCATTTGTATAAATAGAGAGAGAGAGAGAGAGAGAGAGAGAGAGAGAGAAAGAATTTGACAAACAAAATGGGTTTATTCTTTATTTCTGCATTCTCTAAACTGGTGCACACGGTGCAATAAGTTGAAGCGTAACAAATACACGTTTGTTTCGTTTGCTTCAAATTATTGCACCGTGTGCACCAGTTCAGTGAGTGCAGAAAAGAACAAACTTAATGAGATCGCTTTAAAATACTTTTGCTTTACACTTGTAAAAAGAAAAACGGAAAAAACTTCCCCCTTTCCCTCCGACAGTCAGTAAATAATCATAAAAGGTACATGAAGTTCATTTACCAGTGTTTACTTAATGCTCATATTAGTACCTTTTTTCACTTTATGTGTCTTTACGACTATTTACTGATTGTTAGGGAAGATAAGGATAACTTTCTTCTATTTTTACAAGTGTTTTAAAGCGATTTCATTATTTTGTTTAGAAATTCTCTCTCTTTATTTATAAATACAATAGCATGCAAGAAACTTCAATGTGTCATTTCTCGCTCATAACGATTCAATGTGATCGTAACGACTAATTCAGAAGTCTTAACAGTACAATAAAATGTATTAAGGATTTCATAGTTTAATCTGTTTTTACATTAAACACATTTTTATGTCAATTTGTATACGACGGCTTTAATGTGCACCAGTGCACATTGAGTGCACTCGAATTCGCTATTAGTTACAATTTTTCAAGAATATAATTGTAATATATAAATAACCACATGTGATATGTAACAATTAGAGTGATTAAATGAGAAATTATAACTAACAATATAATGTGACAATATAACATGTCGCATGTGTTACAATTATATTATTGAATGCGAAATTATAATTATGTTACTATTAATTAGTGTTTATTGAATAGTGCTATTTTTTAAGTGCTTTTTTTTAACTTTACATTCAACTTTACTTTTTCTGCCTGTTAAATTGTGTGAAACATCTTCTTTTGTTGTAATATTCGCTGTTATACGAGAAAGATGAGGTCAACGAATAATACCTACGGGTTATCATAGTTATATTTATATCATGCAGTAGAGTGAATGTCGTGAAACTTTTCCTTTGATGTCATTAGCGCGGTTACCGGTGTATCTGTTTGAGCCGTGTCCGCGCTAACGAGGCAACTTTCCGAGCAAACTAACGCTTGGTTAATAAAACTCGATACTCTTTCAATTACATGTACAATTAACGAACTCGAGAGTTTTTTAAAAGCCAAACAATTGATACCCATTAACTATATCGTTCAATTATCATCCAATTGATCACACCGTATCTAAGAAATTAGTACTAACTTCCTCGCGCTTGTTACCAAATAATTAGCGACTTGTGCAGCGTCGTTGCGTTTTTTTCATCGACGGTCTGTTTAATCGATCGTAAGCCGTTCAATCTTGATAGTGCAATAAAAAGGCACGTTTCAGACGAGGAATTCTTCGAGGATACGAAGAAATGAAGGACGAAGAAAATTCTATGTTTTTAAGATAAAAAAGTGAAAAAGGCGGGACCGTTTTACGGTAGAAATGGTTTGCACAGGAGGATCGAAGCTATGGAGATGCAGAGGACATTATATAAATTGAAAAAAACTGTGTGCCCGAAGGTGGACACGTACCACACCTAATGGATCCGCCCATTATGACAATTGCATACGCCGGAACTATAAAGCTAAGCAAAGAAGAGGTCGGTAGAAAATCAAGCTGCTCGTCGTTTCTTCTCTTTTTTTGTTGAAAAAGAAATGACGGCGAAACTATACCTTAACATGTAGATGGCGCAGAGATGCAAATAGAAATCGTTGTACGCAACAACACATCAAAATCCTCTGTGGTCTTTTGTTTAACAGTGGAAATATAAAAAATTTGTACCATTAAACTAACCTCATATGTCGCTGTGATATTAAAGTGATATTAATGCCTTTTTCGTATTCACGTGCAGCTGACAGTAATGAATACGAGTCTATTAAGCGTTTATGGAAATCACGTGTTTGCATACGTTATGAAAGTAGAATAATTGGACGCGTAACGGTTTGTCAATCATCGTTTGAATATTACAACAATCAGCATGGACGCATTGATTTGCCTATTCGAAAAGCTTTGAACTTCAATATTTTCGCATAATATGAATATTAACTAATGATGGGTATCACAACTTATGACGAATTGTATAAATCATCAATATATTAAATGTCGAGGTTGCGTTTAATTTATTATTATTAATGTTTATATGAGATATATTTGATTTACTAAAAATACCTCTAAAAGTAAATTCGATTAAACTCATGTGTTTGATACTTTTACGGATTCACATTATTAAATTTACATTTTAAATCGTATTCTTCTTTTACTTAGCGTTACTGTATTTGTTAAGCATTAATTTAATTTATATTATGTCGCATATGTAGTAATTATCACCGAAATGGAAATGCAGATTATTTACATACTGCAAACTCGTGGGCTGTAACTAAATTGATATTGCATTTGGTATTGTCGTATAGTGAATAATAATCTATAACATATAGGCAATATTTCAGTATAGTTGGCACTATTTCGAGCCGTATCACAAAAATATTAATTGAAAATCATGCGAGCCAGGTACGAGATATCTCGTTAGCTTATTCTAATTGGCTTGTGCGTGTTGTCGTTGACGCGTCCCATTTTCCACTTTTCGAATTTTTTACGAAGCCGCCAGACATATCAATTATTTTCGCTCTTTTGACAAATCGTTCGACGAAGTTCGTCCGCCGGACAGCCGGAAATTGAGGTGGACCGTCGTTTTAATTGATAACATTTAACGATTACCTGTACCTTAATGAGCTTGCAGAAAACATTTTACCAGCAGCATAAGCAAAATATTTATATACACTCTGTATTTTAATATATAAGAGAATTAATTTTAAAATACCTCTAACTAATATTAAAAATTGATTTTATGAAATACATTTATTTTGATGTTTTTATTTAATGATGTTTTCGATAATTCGGAGAAAAACATGATGAAATCTCTTTCATGTATTTTCTTGAATTATTGAAGAGATAAGGATATTGTACATATATATAT